ACACACACACACACATACTGCCTATATGAACATTCTAGAATGTTGACATATGTTGTACCACCCATGTACAGGGCAGTCCCAGCCAAGAAGATAAATGTAAACGTTTTGTGATGATCTATGCTCTTGGAGACTTGTCATCTCTTAGAGCCCAGCGCTGTAATAACTCTGCATCTAACCAGAAGAAAATAAATCTACTTAAAGCTGATTTCAGTATCCTGAGTGTTACTTCTTGGGGCCTTCAGATTAAAGAACCGGGTTAAAATTAAAACTACCTCGTGAGCCACAGCCACCCCAAATTATGACAACTCAGAGTTGAGAAGAGGTCGCAGTCTTACACGCCTCTCTTCAGTCTCTTTGTAGCTGATACGTACCCAAAACTCCCAGTACCCCATAGAGACACTTGATACTGTTGCCCCTCTGATAAAGAAGGCAGTGAAACAGAGGAGGCTGCAAATACAGCTTGCAGCTCTGCTCTCTGGGGCAGGCATCATGAAAACTGGAAAGGAGGTGGTGCACCACCAAGTGAGATGAGTTTTTTTTCTAGCCTGGAAAGATATGTAATGCCAGCATTACATGTCATTAACTTTGTGTCTCCTCTTTCCCATAGTTATTCCTCTCTCTCTACCTGTACCTTTCTGCAGGTATCCCTGGCTCTGGAGCTCTACATTTCTGATGACCAGTCACCCGCCACATCAACCTGCCTAGTGTTTGATTGTTTGTCGTGTCTTTTTGCTTTTCTTTTCTCTCTCCACACACCACAAATACAGTCCAAATGGTCAAGGCAGAAAGCCACCCACCAATAACTGGGGTCTGTCGGAGGTTTCTTCCATTAAAGCAAGTTTTTCCTCCCCGCTGTCGCCAAGTGCTTGCTTAAAGGTTTTTTCGGGGGGTTTTCCTCGATGATGATGATGATGACGATGATGATGGTAAGGTCTAAACCTTACTTTTGTTGTGATTTGGCACTATACAAATAAAATTGAAATTGAAACATAGAGTAAAGACCACTTTTTTTTTCATTAACTATTTTGGTGGTGGGCTGAGCAAGGCATCTCTAAAACTTTCTGTGACCAGATTTTTATGAACTTGGAAGGACAGAAAGGCCTCAAACAACAGCTGAGATTTGAGATTTTTGCCATTGATAATTAATATTTTATTAGCTGTACCTATGATGCTAATAAACCCAGAGCGCAGCCAGAATACTGAGGATACAAGATCATAAAATCCCTTATCCCTTCATAAATTCCCTCGAAGTTTAAGAATTCCTGCCACTGTTATCACTCTTGAAGTTTGGTCTGCCAGTTTTACAGGTTCGTCTTTCTCCTGTCAGTCTATTCAGTATAACTCATAACTGATGTCTTACCAACACATAAGAAGTCACTTCCTGTGTGGCCTGTTTGTATCGACACAACCAATCATATTACAGAGGCAGACAGAAAGAATAACCGAAGTGACGGTGGAGAGAGTGGAATACATTTTGGAAGGAGACTTACCTTGCATTTCCCAAACTTTGAGGGGTGCCATTTCATTGGTGCTTTCTACTAAATGTTTCCTTAACTCTTTTAACTGCTCTTTCAGCTCTGGGTAGATGCTCCTGGGCAAAGAAGGACAGAAACGAGAGTAAGTAAATCTGATAAAAGTCCACACTACTAATTATGAGAAAGCAATTGAATTCATAAAACAACTGGTGAATTTTCAGGTTGGCTTCTCTGAGATAAAGGGTTATACTTTCAGGGAAGAAACTGTAGAAAAACAAAAGCTTGGCCAGTGACAGTGTGGTGCAGTTCCTGGAGCTAATCTAAGCTTTGAATTTGTATCACAGCCTGACACAGAGCCACTCACTTGAGTTTGCCAAAAAGGAATCCTTGGACCTCATCCACTGGATCGTTCTCTCCGATCACTGTGGTGTTCACCTCCGCCCCTGAAATCACAATCAATTAACTTGTCATTGGCATCAGGACTCCTCTGGGATTACACCACTGTAGACATGTGTGTGCTCTTTTCTGTGTGCACCTTGGACTTGTGTGTCGTCCTTTGCCTTGTACTCCTGGCTTTTGATGGCCAGCTCCACGCCATATCCTGAAAGATACACTTTCTTTCCACTTGGATTCTAGAGGTTAAAAAAAAAGGGAAGCACTATAAATAAGAAGTCATCCTTGTCCCTAATACAAGTGTGTCACATCCCATGATGTGTCTTGACACGCCTCTTGAGGATGTATTCAGTGAGGGCTTAAATGTATGTGTAAATGCATTCAAAAGGCACTGACTAAAGTTGTCTTTTAAACACCAATCTAGCTGTCTTACTCATTTTACTGCAGCTTGAACTGATGTCAAATTTAATCACGTTCCCAATATATACAACTAAGTAAGCAGGAAAATGTTTACCCAAGTGGCTCCTACTGTTGTTACCATCTTTGTTTTCAACTTCATCTCTGTTGTAAAAAAATTAATCCTACTTACAGTAGAAAAAGCTACAAGACATGTGCACACTGGTTCACAGCTTTCAAGTACAGACAACCAGCTGTTGCTTGCTAAGTGCGGAAGAAGACACTCACTGTCTCCTCAGTGGCCTCAAGATTTGAAGTAAAAAAGAAGTGTTAAGTGTTACAACCTCCCCAGTGCCTGAGACTTCATGCTTAACTAACAGATGGTGGGAATAATTTAGCATAATTACAGGGGAAAACTTTGCATGTAAGGACAGAAGCTATCCGACTTTAAGTTGACATGATAAATTGGAGAAGCGCTTTTCATCCCAGGTGTAAATGAGGAGCCCTATTAAACTGCAGTTTTTTTTTTCCCTCTCTCTCTCTCTCTAAAGTTAAGAATAACTAAGAACACAAGTACTTTTAAATCATCATCTTCCCTCAAGTTTAATAAAAGGCACATACAGTGAATTTATGTGGGGGCTGCCCAGCACAACTACTAGACTGTACAGAGGGAAAAGACAATTGCTTGACAATTTTTCATGACTTGTCCTTAAATAATATTTGGAATTTCACCTGACAACCCTCTACGTATAAGAACAACACATTTCCTAGTATGACAAATGTGATTTGATTATTATTAGGTATAAGAATCTCAAAAATAATCACATTCTTCCAAAGCCTGGACTGACTTACACTAATTGCTTGTTTTGTTTGACCAAATGTGAAAACACTTCTACTATCCAAACCAGCAAATATTAACGTTTGCAAAGCTAGAACCAATTAACTTTTGCTTAACATAAAAACAATTATTTGATTATCAAAATGATTGCCAAACAATTTTCTGTCAATTCGTTATTTCAATCTAATCTTAATTATGTAGTATAACCTTATCATTTCTATTAGACCAAAGTAACAATGCTTTTTCAATGCATGTCCCTCATTTACCACATGTATAGACAGTGAAACTGAAATTCTATAACCCATATCACAATGTACTGTGAATTGTATTTGTATGCATCAACTAAATCTTTTTCTTGTGTGTGAGAAACACTTACTGCCATGTAATGGCGGAGCACGTAAGTCGCCAGGCCGTCATAGACTTTGGATGAGATAATTTCATGAAGCCTCTGGAAATCTGGCTTTCCAAACTCGGCATACAGAATCACAACAGGAGCATCTGGGTTTGATCCTGGGTATTTGTGATCACCTTTGAAAAGGTATGGCTTTGGCCTGAATGAAAGACAGTGAGGTCAGTCCTTAGTTTAATCATTTAGAACTATCATCCATTCTTGTATGTATGTCTTTAGTTACCTTTCAGCTGCAGTTTTCAGCAGCGCTGTTAAACTTTCTGCATCACATGTCTTCTCCCCATGGACGCTGAAAAAAGCTGAGCAGCCAGATGGAGGAGGCTCACCGGATGCTATCTAAAAATCAGAAGGATCAGTTGACATTTGACAAGTCCCTACCTGTATTATGCATGTTTAAGCCTCCAAAAACAAAATTTAAGTCATCCTCCTTGTACCTGTTGGAAGGAGTGTACTGTTGCAGAGTAGGCTCTCAGGGACAGGGCGAACTTCAGCATGTTCACCTGGATGGAGCTGAGCAAAGCACTGGCTTTCTTCACAATCAGGTCATAGTAGGCCTGATCTGTGTCTGCAGGGACATACAGATAGGTTCATATAGTCATGATTGTTTCTGTCCATTTATTCAACTGTCAGATACTGCCTCTTAAACTCTGTCACGGGATTTATAGTTCAACTGTTTTAACACTGCAGAGACACAATTAAACCAAACAGAAATATAGTCTGCAGCTCTATTCTATCATCTTACTGCTTGCATATGTGCTTGATCAAAACGCTGGCACTGCATTTGCTGCCAAGAGGCTTTCATACACATCATAAATTCTGCTGCAGCACAGATACTAAAAGTGAAAACTGGTCTAGAGAGGATGAAGCAGCTTTACTTTACCATCATGCTGTCCTTCTATGTTTTGATTGGCCTCAACAAAGTCCCAGAACTTCTCCTGGCTTTCCTCTGCCAGGAACTCACTGAGGAACAAAATATAAGTGGCAGTTTCGTAAGATGTGCATGTACATACGACACAGTTTGTGTACCATATGCAAATTTATTGTTGCCAGCTGTAAAGTTACATTTGGGTGAAAAATGAACATTTTGCTTGCCATAGCCAAAGCACAGGGCCAGCTCCAGCAAAGAGTACAGCATATGAAGCCTTTAAATATTCAGCATCTTGCTCAAGGACACATCAGCGATAAAGAAGTTTAAACTCACTTAGAGGACAGTTTCAGTAATGACCCTACCAGCCCTCAGGACATTGATTCATCTATTATCTGCTCTCGAAATTTAATGTTAGATGTAATGCGGCCAAATATCTGCTAATGCACTGTTGGGTGTTGTACCTGGCCTCCAGCAGCAGGGGGGTATCAGCCCATTTGGTTGTGAGGGTGGTGGTGACAGCTTTGGAGTCTGCACCCGCAGACACTGCTGAGGGCAGCACCAAAAGCAGGACACAGAGAAGCCACATCCTCATGCCTACGTCTGGGAAAACAGTGGAGGGAGACATTAGGTAGGAGCGGTGAAAAATGAGATGAAGACTCATTGGAATTACAAGATAATACGAGTGAGAATATGTGATACAGAAGCAGAGAGGAGACAGCAAGCTCAGCCCTTGTTTATAGAGCATAGATCAGGCTGCATATCACCTTTATTTGGCCAAGCATGTTACACACACAAGGAATTTGTTTCCGGTACAAAACCGATGGCAGCCATCTGTGGCGCCAACTCAACCGATGGCTCTAACCATTGGGGGCGACTTGGGATTTCAGTGTCTTGCCCAAGGACACTTCTGCACATAGTGTGCAGGCACTGAGATTTGAACCGCCGACCCTCCGGTTGGGAGACGTCTGCTCTACCCATTGAACCACAGTCGGCCCCAAATGTTGTGTGCCCAATGTTGTGCGCACAGCATTTCTGTCTGACATATTTGAACCTCACCCGTGCCCAAGATCGCATCCAAACCCAGCACAGACCTGACAAGCTTATAGTATATAATGTCCAAACCCAACCCAAGCATGACGGAGTTGAATTTATATGGTGTTTTCCCCCTTATCATACGAAATTTGTTTGCTCCAGCCGTGTATCCTAACGTTTAAACTACGTATCTGAACATGACCTGGGATGAACGTAGCTTCTAAGTCTCTGACCGAAACCCGGCACAAATATTCGAGTAATGATAGGTCCTGTCAGGCTCAGTTTGGGGATCCACACTCTGTTTATAAATGGAACAAAAGCAGCATTGGTGACACTGAACTAGTGCTGGAAATCAAACTTCGATACTTTTATAGCAGCGATTGAATTACTTCATTACCATGAAGTATTGATAAATTCTTTTCTACATTTTTATTTAATGATGTCAGCATTAACAGAAGTTAAGGTTGTGGTAAATAGGTTTGATTTTTTATGAAACTGCTTTGAGTGCACAAAAATGCCAAGGAACTGAAAAATAATAAGAATGATCTGCACCAAAATGAGCATGTATTTTTAAATTGATTGTATATAACTGGCATCAATAAAAGTATAATTTAGGAACCAGTATCAAAGTCTTGGAATGCTACCCAGTCCTACAATGGACTAATCTAAAATCTCTCAAACAGTGGCTACAGTCCATCTCAGCTGGATCTAGACGAGGCTGGATTGCCAACCAGGCAAAGCAAGTGGTTGGTTTCTGGCACTTTGATTACTTGCACATTTTGTAGCACCTTATTTTAGAAATGTGTAATTTCCCAATAATAACCAAGGATGTCTCCTGGAAAGAACAATGTCACTTGGCACTAATTATAGGGTAAATAGAGACAAAGCTCTGAAACACCTTTTTGAGTTTAGTTAGTTGTGTTGACCAGCTGGTAATTACCAGAGCAAAATGTTCAAAATAACTGCTCCATTTAAACACAATTCAATTTCTTTAATTAGCAAAAACTTTGTTTTTATGTTGAATTATGTGTTTGTCTTTTTTGTAAATTGCTGCATCTTCAGCTGACCTGCAGCACACCGACTAATTAAAGACCTCAGTTTTCCCCGTAACAGTCACATTATGGCAGCAACTAATGATTGTTTTCATTTTCAATTAATCTGTCAACTTTTTCTTACTTGACTAATATTTTAACCTACAAAATGTAACAATAAATAGCAAAAAAACAAAAACAAACTCCACTTACAGCTTTGCAGAGATAAACATAGTTTAGAATATTTGATGCAGAAATGCAGCAAAACTGTTCATTTCAAGGTGTTAATCAAATTTTTTTCACCTTTTTTCTTAAAAAATGCCTAAAAAATATAACTGATCAAAATGGGTGCTTATTATTCTTTGTCCATCAACTAATCATTTCATTTATAAGTTATATAGTGCTGTGAAAACGTTTTAGGCACTTCAGATGTTTAGGTGTTTACATTTTTATCATCACGCCACACCATCAGGAAGGCATCTGGCTGATACCTAATATATTCTGCAATATAACAACAACCCTAAACACATAGCCGGTCATAAAGAACTATCTTTAGCAACAAGAACAAGGAGTCCTGCAACAGATGGTCTGGACCCCACAGGAGGCCTGATCTCAACATCACTGACTTCAATCAGGGATGACATGAAGAGGCAAAAGACACAGACAGTTTCCACAGAAGAACTCTGGCAAGTTGGAGAAGCAACAGTGGTGCGGTGGGTAGAGCAGTCGTCTCCCAACCACAAGGTTGAAAGTTTGAGTCTTTGGGCAAGACACTGAACCTCCCCGTTGCCCCCGATGGTTAGAGCCATCGGTTGAGTTGGCACCGCAGATGGCTGCCATCGGTTCTGTACCGGAAACAAATTCCTTGTGTGTGACATACTTGGCCAAATGAAGGTGATTATCCTTATCCTTAAAAGTTCTACAGGATCCTGTCTTGAAGATGAGCTAAAATGAGCTTTAGGAATGTAACTGTTTCAAATGTGCTTATATGGTGCACAATCTCAAATAAAGCTGTGCTGAATCAAATTACCACAAACTAACTGATGCAAAGTGCACCTGTGGCCCCTTATAGTCTACTAGTGTGTGCACTGTACATGACTGAAACTTGGGTTTAATAAAGAACATACATACATAGAGGGGATGAAAGATCGGGGGTCAGTAAGGCCCAAACAGCATTTAACTGTATTCTATTGTATCTATTTTATTTTATTTTTGCCAGGGTACGCCTAACTAATTAATTCAACCAGATAATTAAAAATAATCTGGGTGTATCTGGATACAAGAAATTTGGTCTAAGTGAAGGCGGAGGATGGGAACCTAAGGGATAAGAGAATCTATCTTACTGATAGACTACGGAACTTCACTAGTAAACAAAACGCTCGATGGTCTCTGTCCAATAGGAAAGTTCAGCGTGTCTCCTCTATCCAATGAGATCTCAGTTTGACATCCTGTTTCAATGACAATCTTAAGAGAGGTTACATTAGCTCGGATCATAAGCTAACGATAGCTGCTAACTTCACCATATGTTAATGTTTAAATGGCCTAAAACAGCCTTAATGCCAGTTATTTTCACATCCAGAATCCGTAAAGAGTCGGTGAGCACACAGCTGCTAACCCTTACGTACCTGAAAAGGAAGTTAGGTTAGGTAAAAGCCGCAGGAGCTAGACAACTAACCGAGGCAAAATTGAAGCTACCTGATTTTATTAGTTTCCATTTACTCATGGTGACTGAAAGTCTTGGAAAAGGAATAATAACCAGCACTGAATACAGTTATTCACAGCTTCATCACAAGCCAAAAAAGAAATAATAATTTATTCTCACCGAAGCCGGCACCGATGCTTCCTGCATCCATGATCTACTGGGAGTGGGTGGGTCCTAGCTGCCAGCTGAATTAGGTATCTACAACTGTTGCCTGATCTAAATTACTGAAATCCTCCGAGCATTAAACTTAACTGCACCGAAACGTGTCTTGAACACAAAACAGAACATTTCACTGAGAGATAATTAAAAACTGAAGTGTGGGGAAATTAAACCTAAGCAATTAACTTTGCTGCCTAACCCCTGTCTCCCAAACTAACAGAAAACATAATAAAATGTAATATTTATATACTCTATTAAAATGTTCACTTTTTAGACACTAATACCAGCACTGGGCATTTAAAGCAAAGGCATTTTGTTGCCAATAAGTGCTTGTATTTTGCTGCTCTTAGAATATCACAATAATATTTCTTTTTAAATGTAATTGGGCTATATCATAATCAAAAATGCAAGTAGTTAATACACAGTTACATGAGCCAGCAAATGGGTGAGCATTCCTAAGGAAGCACTGTATTCAAGTTAAGTGACGTTTAACTATTATTTGGCCTTAAAGAGGGGTTAACCATGCTGTCATAAATCTTCAGGGCCCCATAATAAACAACACCATTTTCCAACCCTAACCTAACCTAAAATGCTCATACAATGATTTTGTAAACACCATTGCCTGTGACACTATTCTCCAACACTAACCTATCTGAATATGCTTGAATTCTATCCTTACCCAAGCAAAGAGCAACTATTTACACATATAATATCTGTAATGCATTTGCTTGGGTTATACAGTGGCTGGCCCAGCTGACTCATAGGCAAACACACCTGAGAACCAGGCCTGCTCAGTTGTCAATTATTTCAAGATTGTCAGTCAGAAGAAAACTACACCAGTAACAACCCCTCTGACTCAGAAAATTGTATTATTAGTAATGCCATTATAAATTACATGTATGTGTAAAAATGAAGGCAAGTCTACAGGGTCATCAGGTGGGAAAACAGGCAACCTATGCCATTACACAAACCACTCACAGGTGTTACCACACACAGAGCTCGTTACTGGATTGTTATGTAGGCTATATCTAATATCATTTCAGTTTAGCAGGGTTCAATTATTTGTATAAGTTAAAGGACAAATCATCTTAAACATAACTTAATTTGTTTAGGGCAGTAAAATCTATATTTACACACACAAGTGTAAGAGTAACAAAAAGAGTGCAAAGGTTTCCAGGGTCTCCAGAATTTATGTGATTTATGATTAAGATCATGAGTCAGTTTCTCAACAGGGGGATGATCCAATATCTGTGATATCCACATGTCAACCATAGGAACATGTGGGGTAGACCATCACAATAAAATACATTGAGCCAGAAATGAAAGCACTGTCAACAGGAATTTGGTGTTTGCATCAGAAAATTTTGATTTATGATTTAAAACATAAAGTGATGAAGACATTGCAAACTGTTAACCAGTAATTTCCTGGATCACAGAGTGGATTTCTTTTCAAAATTTCTGGATATGTTCACATGACTAAAACAAATGGATAAATGTTTTAGATACATGTTGGAGGTCCTTTTACATTACTTGAGGATTTATATTTCCTGCTACATCATACTTTGAATTCATTAAATTACAGACCTAAATCTTTTGTCTTATTCCTTTACATTTATTTGATGTCTAGTTACTTTGAAAACCAGATTAATAATTCAAAATGCAGCATCATCACGAGACATTATTGATCCCCAGTGAGAAAGTTACAAGTTACTCAACAGTATGTAAAATAATTCAAATTATAAGCATATAAGATTAAAATTAAAATTTGCTCCACCTTTACCAGCTGCAACATTGCAGTGATGTTGGCTCCACTATAATGCAACAATAATTATATGCCAATAATATACATTACTGTGAGATCTGCCTTTATACATATTAAATACATTTACTTCAAATATATTTTGATGCTAATAATTTTTTACTTTAGTAAAAGTTTCATTCAGGACATTAATTTGTAGTGGAGTATTTTTACACTCTGTTATTATACTTTATTTCTACTTCTGCTTAAGAAAGGATCTGAGTACTAACAACTACAATATTTTATAATTTTCTATTAAATAAATAATTTTGTATGTAATTACATAGCAAATTAATATGACATAAATCATATAAACTCTCATATTAAATCTGTGTTGTATAATATTGTAGATATAATTACATGAATAACATTTTAGGAGGGATTTCCCTTAAAAAGGGGTAAAAGTACAGTAATGTATATTATTGGCATATAATTATTGTTGAATTATAGTGGAGCCAACATCACTGCAATGTTGCAGCTGGTAAAGGTGGAGCAAATTTTAAAGAGTAGGGACAAGGGTTTGTATACCTGTGCATGTATTAGTCAGTGCATGCAGAGTACCTAAGTGTAGATGATCCATATATATTTGGGACCTTGTTTTGAGGAAACAGTGTGTATTAATTTGAAAAGCAGCTTGAGGAAATGAGATTTGCTGTATGCACAATGTAATAGCCAAGGGAAATAAATCCTGAATTTAGAGTAAGTAATTTGCTATGTGGTAGGCTAACAAAAAATAAGAGAAACTGAAATCCCTCTCATTTGGCAAAGGGCCCCCCGAGATTCTCGGGGTTCATTTTTTTAATTTTTACCTTGAGATTGTGTGATATTCTATATCTTTTTGATAGACTGTCCCTTTGGGGCAAATTGGCACACCATGCCAGGCTCCCTGTCAAGCTATTTTGCGGTCTTGATAAAAAGAACATGAATGACACGGAGACACTGTCCCAGGGTGTGAAGGCATGGGTATTGCGTTTTCATTTACTCGCTCTGCGGCCTAAATTAAATTGGACAGCTGATCCTCCAGAGGGAGTAGTTCCAGGGTTTAATTTAACATTATAAAAAAAGCAACAACATTAATTATCCTGTTGAATTTGACCTTCACATTTTTAAGTGCATGTGCAGGCGCCATGCACATGTAGATACATGCATACACACACACACATACATACACACACAATGTAACAGGACAAACCAAGTACTCACATTCCCCAGGAATAACGTTAAACCCACTTCACATACACACTCACACATCTATGCTGCCCATAAGGTCTGTTCATCTGTCAAGAAGGTGACATCTTCAGATGAAGTATGGGATGTGGTTGCCATCTTCTGTGGGGGTCACATGCAAAATGGTGAACCTGAGTAGTAGTCTTCCTCTCCTCACACTATCACACGTCAGCCATTTTAGAGGTTGAAAGCCTCAACGGGGAACCAAAACGACCTCAATTAAACCTCTATTAATATTAATACATTTTGTCGTTTCACGTGAGTTGCCACTAATTAAATGTGTCCCTGACTGTATAATGGGGGTCAGCCTGGGTCTCCTACATGTAGCTAATTCACCACATTACAGCCACCAAATGCTGGGCTGATTTGGATTCAAATATTGAATTGCATAGGTGGAAAAGAGGGCGGTTTTAGTTACCTTGTAAAATATATACATGTACATAAACACACTTATTTAGCAAAAGGAAAAGTTTTTGTGTACACCCTTTAGAGTTTTCTTTTTATGCTCTCGTGTGTGCGCCTGAACCAGGATTTGTATCTTGCTACATTTCTCCAACATCAACATTTATCATGAGGACTGCTGTTTCCTGTTCCTGCTGTAATTGCATTCACTTCCTTTTTCCTGTGCCTGTACCATGTTGTGCTTGCTACCAGATTGTTTACAGATTAAGCTCACTAATTTCTAGGTTTATCTGAACATCAGCCAATTTTGAGCCATGACATACACCTGCACTAATTAAGCACATGTGTTACAGAATTTCTTGCTAATTACCAAATTTAACTTGCTACTTTACGTCAGCTAGCTTAGAAGCTAGCTAAGTTACTGGCTTAGTTAAGAGCAATGGCTTCCCCCTCTTCCCCCTCTTCCTGTTGCTCGGAGTGTCGCATGTTCAGTTATTCCTCTGGCTCCTTTAGCGATAATAGTACTTGTAATAAATGTTGGATGCTAGCAGCACTGGAAGTGAGGCTCGCCGAATTGGAAGTGTGGAAAACACCATGGAAAACAGCCCAGCTAGCCAGGCCTATGTAGCCGGTGTGGAGCCTCCTAGACGTAGCTTAGCCCAAGCTATCCGCCCCCCAGTGCTTTCTGAGTGGCTGGGAGCTCAGCCAGGTGGCTGGGTGACAGTTCGCACCTGGACGATCTTATTTTACCAGCTAAATTACACAACCCAGAGTTGAGTCCAGGTCACAGGGTCGCAGTCTTACACACCTCTCTGCTGTTTCTTTGCAGCTGCTACCCACCCAAAACTCCCAGTACCTCATAGAGACTGTGTCCACCCCCAACCACCTAAATTATATAAATCAAAAGTCAACTCAAGAGGAGTTATTCATACAAACCTAATTAAAATTAAGACTGCTCCTCTTATAGAACAAAATAACAGGGCAATCAAATGTGGACTATTAAATATCAGACCTCCCATGTCTAAAGTGCTGTTAGTGAATGATTTGATAAATGAACATCACATTGATCTGTGTCTTACTGAAACCTGATTACAGCAGGAAGAATATGTCATCCCAAGGCTATGAGGTCTTTAAGATACGATGGAGCATTGTCATTAAGGGCTTTGTATGTTAGGATAAGGATTTTAAACTCTGTTCTGGCCTCAGGCCTTCTCATTCCAACAGAGCACTTCGCTCTAAGTGCTTGTCTACTTGTGGTTCCTAGAATCTACAGAAGTAGAGTGGGAGGCAGAGCCTCGCTACCTTTAAGATTAGACTTAAGACGTTCCTTTTCGATAAAGCTTATAGTTAGGGTGGATCAGGTGACCCTGAGCCTTCACCTTAGTTATGCTGCTATAGGCCTAGGCTCCTGGGGGGCCCCATGATGCTCTGCGTTCCTCTCCTCTCCTCTCCTCACCTCTCCCCCCCCTCCCCTCCCCTCCCTATGCTTCTATATGCCACCATTACATGTCATTAACCTTGTGTCTCCTCTCTCCCGTAGTGTGTCCTCTCTCTCTCTCTGTACCTTTCTGTGGGTATCCCTAGCTCTGGAGCTCTGTTTCTGATGAGCAGTCGCTGGCCACATCAACCTGCCCAGTGTTTGATTGTTTGTTGTTGTGTTTCTTGTGTGTTGTTGCTTTTCTTTTGTCTCTCCTCTATCCACTCACCCCAACTGGTTGAGGCAGAAGGCCGCCCACCAAGAGCCGGGGTCTGTCAGAGGTTTCTTCCTTTAAAGGGAGTTTTTCCTCCCCACTGTTGTCAAGTGCTTGCTCCAGGGGGATGTGTTGGGTTTTTCCTTAATAACAATAATAATAATAATAAGGTCAAGATGATGTTTGTTGTGATTTGTCAGATTTTTTTTTGCTATGCAGAGGTTAATAAGCTTGCAGTGGAGGAGCTCTTCCTGAGTTTCTGGACCACCTAAAAACATAGTAAACAAACATTTCAGAGCTTAATGGGATTGTGGGACTCCTCAGACTAGACTCCTACTGGTGTCAGTCTGTTGGAGCTCCATAGCAGAGTGCTGTCTGCCCGGGAGGTTGAATTCTTCTGTTCACCCTTGAATATCATGAGGGTTGATTTGGTGTTTATCTGGGAGATTAGTCAAACCTAGAGCGGAAGGTCAGATAATGGCCCCAGACGTCCAATCTAATCATATTTATTTTATTGCTGAAAGAAAAATGTGCATTCCCACACTGGACTATGCTCTGTCATTGCTCTCTGTTTACTTTTTGATAAAACAGGGTAGTGAAACACTGTAAATTGTTTGTGTATAGAGATTTATTCATATTGTATATTTGATGATGAAGGTCTAAGCCATGGCCCTGCTGGAAATGACTCAACCAGAGACAAAAGACCAAACTCCACTATAAGCAGTGCCACTGCCAACAGGGCAATCCTCCAGAACTACAATAGCCTGGCTTTGATGAATGTAAGAGAGGCACTCAATTTAAACTTATCTGCAGAATTCCACACTGAAAATAAACAACAATAATGCCAGTTTCTTTGTTTGCATGAAAGAAGCATGGGACCAGTGATGAGGAGCTGCAGCCGGTATGACCTCCTAATGATGGACCGCAGCCAGAGCCCATATAATTATTGAGCTGGATTCCCATTCCCACTGCAGGAGTGAGCACGCACTTTCTATCGAACACTCACATGCACATATTCAGCCAAACAAAAGCTGTGCAGCCCTCTGCAGTAGCTAAGCCATTATTGTTTGTTTAGTCCAGCTGCACTTGAAATGACAGTGACCCAGAGCGATGGGGAGGATTAAAGATTGCGTTCAGCCCTGTATAGCATGTACCAGCTGCCAGAGAAGCTCCACAGCCTTTCCCTTTTCTCTCGCTCCCCCCTCAGTTCTCTCAATCTCTGCTCATACCAGCCACAAAAACATCCTCTTTTTCCTCCTGTCTTGCATAAAAGTCCTCTCTGATTCCTCATCTCCCTTATACCCTTGCTCTCGTCATGCCGATGGCTCATGCCTGTTTGTCAATATCCATGCAAATTATTTTTCTGCCTTCCCTTGGGGGGCAGAGGTTAGTTGAAGGCCTGTGCTCTCCTCCCTCTCCCTTGCCTGCTCAGCCAAGGACAGGAATCATATTTATAATGGTCCCAGTAATCAAAGAAGAAGCAGAAGTGTATTTCTGTGTCAGGCTAAACTACAGTGTCTGCAGATTGGATTAGGCTGTAGATCACCGTTGACAGGGCTGGGGCTGTCGTTGGGCAGGTGGATTGTGGGGGGTAAAGTCTCACGGTCCTGTGGTTAGTATAGACGACTGGCAGGAATGTCCTCTAGTTACTGATTGGCCTGTGGATAGAAGTAGAAACCTGAAGGGCAAAGCTCCCACACAAGCTGTCAAATAATAAATAAATAGAATCACAGAGTGAGTCTTAAATAAATATGTGGTGCATTTCAAGTTCAGTAACTTGGATGTAATTTCCATCTAAAAAATAAACAAATAAATACAAAAATAAAAAATAAAAAAAATCAAAAGGAGAGATGTTTTTGTGACTGTATGCTTGACAGAGTGGGAAACATCACAAATGATATGCAGTGACAACCACAACACAGTCAGGTCTGTAAAAATGAAATATTTTAATTGGTGGCTTGATGATTCATTTTTGCAATCATAAGAAACAATCCCAGAATGATGCATACAGAAGGAGCCAGTGACAGTCTGCACACCAATCCAAAAGAACAATTCTCTATCACGCTCTCTCTAACACATCTTTAAAAAAGAAGGAGGATGATGATGTCAGTGACACCTGGCTTGCTTTTACTGTCACAAATGAAACATTAAGACATCAGATATACATAGCGATGAGACAAAATATTTCAGCATAGCTTTACTGGAATCATTTCAGCGAAAGGAGTTTTTCTTCCACACATTATTCAGGAGTATTTTTGAGCAGTGCTTTAGGTCTGACGGTCACTTGACACTGGAACGCTGAAAATAAAACACAAAAGAATTAGTTTTGTGTCCTGTTTTTAACCACTAATGGGGTGCCAGATATTAGTCTGGAGCCAAAACATAGTCTAATAGAAGTCTGACTGAAAAAGAGGTTGTGGGCAAAACGCCTAGAGCTGCAGTTTTTTTTTTTTCAGGTCTCCAGTTTCAAAAAGACAATGAAAGGTGAGTTAATACAAATGAAAAAAGGGAGATTTTCCTTTCTGTAGACATTTTTCCCCGTGCATATTGCATTACTTTGAAGGCCACGCAAAAAGCAGCATTATGAATCTGGATGTATCCCAAAACCTTTCATCATCCCTCCACCCACAACCCCCTGTTCTTCTCTCCTTCCCGTCATAAATCATCCCTGATTCAAAAGGGGCTGATCAAAAAGAGACAAGGAAGGATCCAGGGTAATTAGCTGAAATTTAGCAAGGGTGGTGGGGGAGTAAATTGTTGGTCTCCCCTTCCTTTCTACTTAAAAAAACAAAAACAAAAAACTATTGTTAACAATGGGATACAACATGTCAATACCAAGGATGTAGCAAACCTCCCATTGGAAGGCACAGGCTGGACAGAATTCAGTATAAACATGCTGTCACGTGACTTTTTTCTCTTCCCATTTTTACATTCTGTTCTGCACCTTCTTGTTGGTTTTATTCCTCAGATGATTTGTGTGTAGATAGGATTGGGTTTCAGTAGCATTTTATCAAATCCACATCCACTATCCAATCTGACTAGGCTTAGATTTCAACATTTACAAGCTATTGTTTGTTATCTGAAACACACACTTCAACCTGAAAACAAGATGAAATGTTAAATTCTGGAGGTTTCTCTTAGGTTGATACTTTTAAAACATATTGCTAAAGGTTGAACTGAGATGCTCCTCAAATTAATGAGACACCTTCAACTAATCAGATAGAAAATTTCTGCAGAGATGTATCGCTACTCTTTTGGCCTTGTTAAACTACAAAACCACACAGTTCACTCAGTTATAGAATGATGTTACAGAATGAGGTTTCCTTTCCATAATAAACAATCTTTGGCCAAGTGCACACAGAGACCTGCAACTGTGATTTTGTCACACAGTCATATTTTATGTAAACCTTGGGGCAACAGTCAACTAGTAATTTTTATCTTTTTATTATCCAGTAGCAAGTTGCATCTCCGCAGCTATTTTCAGACTGAGACAGAAACTCTCCAGAGACTTCCACTGTGCTGGAACGCATGATAAGTCAGCTTTGCAGGCCAGACTGTCACAATTGGCTCCGGGCAAACACATTATCTTTCCAGGGAGCCAGCTGTCACCTGTGGAGTCACAGAATACCTTTGAAGATACAACTTGCTGATGGATTAAAACAATATAGCTATAGTGTTCCCTTCACATAGGAAACACAATATTACTGAATCACAGAGTAATGAATGGAGAGCTGATGTTACAAATAGGTCATTGTTTTAACCAGTGAAAGCTACATTAATGTTGTCTACACTGCTAATTAAGACATTCGTTAGCATCAGAGTTGAACAAATGTGGATATTTTGCCAGCAAGAACAGGTATTATGCCAAATTCTGTCACCTACTACAAGTGTGACCCATCATATTAAAAGAAACACACAAATTACAAATGCATAAATTAAAATGCTGATTGGTTCAGATCATTTGCTGGAACATCCACTTCAAAATAGAGACAGCCATTGCAACCCAACCCTACTTGCAGAGTTTGCTGTTAAATGTAAAGAAATGTCACACAGGCAGATTTAAAAAAAATATAAATATGAACTTAAGATTAGTAAAACAATGGGGGAAGGTTAAAGAAAGGGGCAGAGGGGAGTATTACTGGCTTGTATCACTGCGATGGTCACAGCGCTGTGACACGCTGTTGGGGGGACACCGGTGTCCTGCGCACTACCACTAAAAATGGCAGGATAATTGGTCATGAAACCAGTTATTCACAAAACCCATCAGACATCTGCTCTCAGCCAGACACACTATTTACAAAGGCATACACAAATCACAGGCATACTGTACATACTATTTACACACACACACACACTCTCATCTGCACAGACACGAGTAGTCAGAGAAATCACTGAAGTATAATGCAGATATAGCATCTGGCAATAATTATGTTGACTATGACCTCAATACATAGAGGCACTGCTACCTCACCCCATCCAGTCTTCACGGTAAAACCAAGCAAAATTCCGGTCACACCAATGAACTCCAGGTCACCAGCACTGTGTGTACCGTTTCAGCAGGTGGCACGGAGGCTTGTTTCAGAACCATCGCTACTCTTGGTTAGAAAAAGAAAAAAAAAAAAAAAGCATCACACACAAAAAAACCCAACCAACCAAAGGAAAAAGAGAAACTAAAATTGCCACCCACTATATTAAGGGCTCACATTGCCATGATGACCAGTACTTCCACAACTCCCTTCTCGAGCATTTGTCTGAGTTAAGGTTTCTAAAGCGTCTGCTGCTCACACAGCACGGTTCCTGGCAACAACCTGCGGCAGACTCCCTCCTCTCCCTGCCTTTGATTTCTTCACACCTATGTGAGATTCAGCTCTGTAATTGGCTGTCATTCTCTGCAGGACTGTGACACACACATACACAAAACGGAGAAAAAAAAAAAGAGAAATAATGAACTTGTTAAGCAGCGGGAGCTCTGCGAACCTTCAACAGAGAAACAGGCCACTCCCCTCCCCGAGATGCAAGGCTTCTGTAATGGCTATGGTCCATTGTACGTCCATCCAATTCATTAGCTTTGACTTAAAAAACAAACAAAAATAAAGAAACAAAGGAATCACTTTTCATTAGGCAGCAATATTGGTCTCAGTGTTATTACAATTCTGCTTTAAAAAAAGCATAAACACAGAAGGAAAATACAAGTGAAATCATCCTAAAATGAGAATGAGACTGTCATTATTTCATGACCAAAGCATGTTCATGGATGAAATGGCAGATTTTTTTTTTTTAATTTTAAGCAGAAAGCTTTTATTACACAATTCAGTCCAACTTTTATCTGCTCTTTCCTTCAGATTCATTTCCCCATGTAAGGCCATCATTTTCTTTGTTCAGTTTATCCATTAGTACACTTTCATAGCTTTGCCAGTTCCTTTGAAAATGGGGTGTGTCCAGGAAGTAGACTGGTTCTTTTCAAGGATTAGTGGGAATTCGCAGACTAAATTTGATTTTTCTCATGCTCCATATCAGGCCACAGAGAACGAGAAGAATACAGAGGGAGGAGGAGTGGAGACGGGAGATCTGGATGAGATACTCGGTTGTCAGCAACTTGTAATATCTCTCTTGTGCACAGTCTGTAGTGATGACAGGAGATGCACAGAAACTCGAGGGGTGGGGAGGGTGGGAATATCAACTGGACAAACCTAAGTAATGTGAGCTGATGCAATCGACCAAGCCCAGATCTCCATAGCAACCACTTGGACTCCGAGTAGTGCAGCCTAACTTTATGGTAAAGTCATTTGGGTCTTCAATGCAGGCGCACACTTTCTGTATATGTGTGTGTTTACGTATATGTATTTTCACATTACATATTCAGGTCTGTGTTTGCTCCTATGCTGCTGCTACCAGCGGTTGATGATCTGGTTCATGTAGTCCTCAGTGGGAAGCCTGCTGCCCGCCTCCTCTGTTCTGCCTCCCTCCTCACCTTCCTCCCGCTCCTCCCTCTCCATCTCTCTGTCCTCCAGTGTCAACATTGAGCCCTGCTGGCTGCCGGAGGGCCACAGGCTGACACCCAGACCCAGGCCCTGGTGGCTTTGCTGCATGTGGCTCTTGATGCGCTGCTGCCGCCTCTCCTGCTGCCTGGTGTACTGGTAGCGCTGCTGGAACAGGTCCTTGGCGTAGTCGTACAGCTCCATGTCCAGCTCGTTTAGCTCCTCTATACGATGGACCTGACGAGGAGGGAGGAGATGAAATGTTTTCAGAAGTTAGCTCAGGGTCACATAAGAATGGAGAAGAAGACTGCATACAGTCCATTTGAGGTATTTAATTCAAAAGCTAATTTTGAACACTAGTTCTTCCTCAAAATACCACACACAGACTCTGTCACGTGTCAGACTCCAAACCATTTCACCACTTTTTCTTTTTTCTTGATATGAACCATTAGTCCACAGCCTCTTTCAGCTGGGCACACCTTTTTCTGTCCTCCCTCCGGGATTTGATGCATAAATCACCAGTCTGCTGTGCACTGGAGGATATATATGTATATATTTATTTGCAAGGAACTGAGCCTAAGAACGCCCACACTGGACCAATCAAAGTGTGAAGAACATGTTTGAAGCTGCTGTTTTTATTAAACAGCCACAGTCATTCCAACTCATTTCACAGCAATCTAAAACCACAATGTTTCCTCTCTATGTCTCTCTTTTCCTCTTTTCCTCTCTGTTTTCTCACACAATCTTTCCCCCTCTTTTGGAAATATTTGTTATATGTAACTGTGACTGTGATGCGGCTGCTGTGTCTGTCTTCAAAGAAATATTTTGGGCTTAACACGACTGGTCTTACAAAATAAGACATTTTTACTCTTTTGAAAGAAACACATGAACGTGACATACATGCTAGAATTACACAATGGACCTTGTTACTTCTATAATAAGAGCTATATTAACTATATTTGCATTATTAGTGCAGCTGTACTGTGAATACAGTTTGATGCTGTTATTTCCTGCAGTTGTTTCTGCTCTCTGCGTACACAGTTACATCTACTGTGTGTGTGTGCAGCACAAACCGTAGCATTGTCCAGGTCTACCCCTGCAGCCCGTGTGCTGTTGTACTGCATAAAAGGCCTGATGAAGCGCAACCTGAAGGTTCGCTCAAACAGGAACTGGGTTTTCCTCTGGTACTCTGTCAGACCAAAGAATGCCATGTCTCGCAGGTTCTTCTTGGCCGACTCCAGGAGAAGCTGGGCCCTCTTCTTCTCTGGAACTGTGGACATGTTGTAGCAGCCGACGAGGCTCAGGTCTGCTAACATACGAACCTAGAGACAGGAATAGAAAGTGAGGATAGAAATCTGAGGATGTCTGAGTAAAAGTATCCACTCTTCATATCAAGAACTTCAAATCAAGAAGACAGACACTGTCAAAGATTACAGAACAACTAGACTACACTAGTTTATATTCAGCTGCATTCGGTCGCAAAAATGAGAGATTACTATATACCTGAGTGCACTCTGGAGCTGTTGTGTTGCAGTACAGGGACAGAGACTGCATACTGATTTCAGTTCACAAGAATGCAATGTGTACCTCGGCCTGCTGGGCCATCAGGATGCCTCACATGTATGTGTGTGTGCGTGCAACATTTATAAGCCACATGACCCTGAGTAATAATAGCCTTGGGATCAGGTGAGATATGCTGGCCAACACATTTCAGTGGGAGACTGAGATAGCATCAAAAAAGAAGGTGTGAATTCGAGGTTTTTATGGCTAGCGGGGCAAATCCTAACTGTGTATGTGTGTGTGGGAGGGAGACTATACGCTAACATGTGCAACTCATTGAATACCTATGACATGTTTTGGACTTTGAGTAAGTCTGAAAGTAAGAAATCAAAAACTACATTTAATTTTCTCCTTTAACTGTTTGTGTTAAGAAATCAGTACCTGGCTGATCTCTTCTTTCTTTTTAAGAAACCCATATCTACTATTTATTTGGCGTCTTGTGAAAATTAACCAAATAATTGTATCTATTTTTCTGCAAAGATGAATCCCCGGTTTTGGTATCTTCCACTGTGGTAGTCACTGACAACGCTGCCACTATAATTAATGAACAAAACAAAACAGTCGAGTAGACAAGAGCGAAGTCAGGTCAGGTGCGGAGATGCAGGTTAGCTAGATAGCAGTGATAAATGGCAGCATGGAGACTGAAGTCTGCTGCTCTTTTGAGTGTTTGCAGTGAAAGGGGACTGCACAAATGTCCAAAAGAAGTACATAAGCAAAGCTGAATGGCTGAGGATTTGTGGGCACTTTCCTTCTCTGTAGCACTTATTGAACTAACTGCATTGGTCTGGGTTCAAAGGACTGTAACAGCCAATGTGATAACCTGGCAACATAAGCTTATAGTTTATCATTTAGTTGATTGGTATTAATATCTTTTTCTCCCTACCTGTCTGTTGTTAGCCAGGTTGTAGGGACAGTCCATGAACTGCTGCAGGGTGCACCCCGACCAGTCAGAGCCCTCGTAGCAGGAGGGCAGCTCCTCTGGCGTCGGGGTCCGTCCATCGCACATGTGCAAGGAGGTTTTCCATGTGGCTCCTCGCTGCACGTGTCTCCACTCGCTGAGGTATCGAGACACGGGGTCCCTCAGCAGAGTGATGTAGTAAAACTTCCTGTTGGGAATGAAAAGGAGCAGAAAACAGAGGTAGAAGTTGAGATGAGGGAAAGGGAGGTACAGCAGAAAATTACACTAACAAAGTACTTTCTTTTACTTGCACAGAAAAGTGTCTTTGACATAGATCTTTACAATCAGTAACAAAATAAAAAGAAGGCAGAAAAATAAACAGCAGCAACAAAACCTTTAAAAACAAGCCTATGTGTTAGTGTTTCAGCTGCAAAGTGAATTTTATTGATTTTTGCCTTTTTGTTTTCCTTTTGAGAATGAGTCATTTCTTGATTGTTCCAATCAAGTAAAAATGAAGATACAAGAGGCAAAAGGATTCTCAGTCAAGCACTGCTTCGTGTGTAAGCCCCAAGTTGTCCAAGTGGTGGCACTGTTTACAACAGTTTACTGCAGCAGTTAATTCTGCATCCTCATAACTCTGAAGGAGGAAGGCTGCAGACTGAGGTTGTCATACTTAATACCATATTATTTGCATTTACAAAGGCAGCCATATGATGCACAAAAGAAATCTGGGCAGCAGAAAGGAAGTTCAGCTACAAATGAGTTAGGAAGAAAGGGGGTGAAGCACAGAATTTATTTGTCAGGCAGAAGGATCAAGTCAGTGTTTGGGCCACACTGTGCAGGAAAAGAAACTGCTGGCACAAGCACATCTCACTCTGCAACACACATGCCCACAGTAAAAACATCTTTATGTCTCAGACTCACACACACAGCAAACATCCTCCCTCACAATCGCACGGAGTATTAGGTCTGCCTTCAAGAGATGACTCATCCCACACCCAAGATTTGGATGGAACCGTTTCTGTGGTGCATGTGTGCGTGTGAGTAACATAATGGTGCATAGCACAGTTCAGTGTCTCTCCAGAGGGGACACTCCCACCAGAGCGGAGACCTTTCCAGGCCTTCACACTCCGGCTAATTACTGCAGTCAACTCAATCAACACATCCTCGTGTGCCTGCAGTGTGTCTGGAAGCGATGGTATGGATTTGTCTAGGAAAAGAGACACACGCCGCTGGTCGAAAACACACACAAGCACACATGCTGCTCTTTTCTCCTGGGCTTGCATCTCATCAGAGGAATGTTTGCAGAGAAAAATCCTGTATGCTGACATGATGCTATGAAATCACATTCCATCTCAGATACACACAGTCGCACAAACTGTAGCCAAGTCTAGATATTAAAAAGACCTGGCTAAAGCCTCAAAATCCAGTGGCAGCAAGGAGATCCAGGACAACAACTATATACTAAATCTAGTAACAGCTGAGAGATGGTGCATATTAGAACAACCAAACCACCACAGCAGGGAGGAGACTGTAGACAATAAAACAACTCCCAAACAAATTTCAACTGGAAGACCCTGAGCAACAAAACAACCACACCCTGGATTTAGCTGTGGCACAGAGAGATCCCTTCAAATGAATACAAATCTAGCGGTAGCAGGGGGGGATCACGGACAATGAAAAGATTAAACCCTAAATCCAGTGGCGGCCGGGAGATCCAAGGCAACAAACCAAACAGACCCCTGATCCAGGAACAGCTGGGGATCATGGCTGTGGAAACAAATATCTAAACTCTAAATTGCATCAGACTAAACCCAAATCTCATCGCCCAGTCTAATCAAAAGCAGAGGAGAGGTACAGTCAAACTGGAGCCTGCAGGAGAGCAGGCTACATTATAGAGATTCCTATGATGACATTATCAGGATTCCTAACACTCCCCAGAGTGCAGTGTGTCTGTGTGTGTGTGTGTGTGTGTGTGTGAGGCTGCTGTGTGTGTTTCTGAGTAAGGCTACGCCCATTAAATCAGCAATGACATTTTCCCCTCTTGGCTTCTATTCCACAGAAAAAAAACCCAGCACTGTTTTAGCCTTCGCTACAGAGATGGGAAGAGAGGACGAGGGAAAGGGTGAAAATCAGAAAAAGAAAGAGAAGAAAGCGAGTGAGAGAGGAGGGGGCGGAAGAGAATTTCAATTAGTTTTCTAATACTGTGAAAGCAGTGAGGGCCCGGAGCCCAAGTGATTTATCAAAGTTATGGCTCCCGCTATAATGAAGGCTCAGGCATATTACCAGGCAAAATAAATAAATAACATGCACGTAAACACACACAGGATGAGACACACAATAACACACACAGGGGCACACATGCAAACCCAAATAAATGATCTTAAACTGCAAGCCTGCCTGTCGTGTCAGGCAGACTGCAAAACTGGTGCCGTGGAGACTTTCTCGCCTTAGAGCCTAATGATGTCTGGCCGTGTACTCGGATCCCTGTGTAATGATGTTTCAACCCACACATGCTTACTCACTCACTAGCAAATTCACTCCCTTTAACACACGTCCACACACTCCCTACCTCTGATTCTTCTTTCACAAGTGACAATGCTTATAACTGAGGGACACCCGCACTTATTAAATTAACTTTAAAGCTAATACCCTGTAAAGATTTTAGCTGAGTGTGGGAACAGCAGCTTGTCTTCTTGCAGTCTGCAGCCATTTTCACACATGAACTCCAGACTATGTCTGCAGAATCACGCCCAGACTTTGTCCAGAGTTGCCCATTCACACATGTAGCACACATAGGATAAGTGACGGCAACACCCCTGGTTTTGAAACCCCCCCTTCCCTCACACAGATACGCAGGCATGAGGTCACATTTTATGAAAATGTGTCAAATCCTTGTGGACTTCTTCCGGTTTCATGCTGGCCACATGGTAGAACGTCACTGACTGCTACTGTATTCTCACATGGGCTCACTCCAGCTCACTCGGCCTTTGTAATAGGGAGCTGGCAGGGTAAAGTCTGTTTAATATCTGGGTAGAATGACTCGGACATTTGAGTTCTCACATACAGCTCCTCTGGGTAATGTCTAGAGAATTTCAGGGTTCCAGTGGATGTCTGAAAATGGCTTATATTTACTTGCAGCACATTTTTCATGAAATTTCACCTGTATGTCTTTTTTTTTTTATCTGCAACATATGGAAAAATACCTCAAAACACTCACAAAAACACTTTAAACTGCATTTATCAGGTGTCAAACATGTCGGCCGATCAGCGAGCACTTTATCGTCTTATTGATGTGTCTTAACAGACGGGTGGAGTGTAGAGTGGAGTGATAAAACAGCGAATGCTTGGCAGGGAGCGGTGTGATGAAGCTACTGTCTGGACCACTCTGGGAGTCAGACCGAACAAGGACAGTTTTGTCTTTTTTTATCTCTCACTTACTCTTTTTTTTGTCATCATCACTAGAACTGAATACAAAACTGCGGCTTTAAGTGCAAGATGAAGTGTCAGAGCTGTCTGGCTGACTAAAAGCAAAAATGGCAAGAAGCAAAAAGGGAAAACCCATCATGCCACTCTTCATTCTGTACGTCTCTCACATGTTTACAGGGCTTTCTGACTTTTCACCCTCCTTCTCTCACCATTATTATCTGTGCACACATATGAAATATAAATAAGTGAGGATGAGACACTTGTCAGCCTTTTCCACCTTGCCAAGAGAACAATTATCAGAGGAATCGCTGAATACTTGCAATTCTTCATTTTTAGCGTGGCAATGGTCAAACTTAAAAGATAATGGAATAAGGAATGATATCTTTCTTTAAAAAGCTGTACTGGTCAAAATCCAGTATTAGTAAGTCAACTTGATGTGAGCTTGCTGAGTGTTATCAAGAGGAAACACACAGTGCCTGATCCTGTTACGGTCTCTGAGAGCCCGGAGAAAATGAGCACTTGGCCTGTTTCCTGTGGGTCACAAATCATCTCTTCTACAACCTCCACATCCTCTTTTTAACCTCTCTTCCCTTTCTGTTTAAATCTTTTCCCTTCTGTCACTTGTCTTCTTTCAACCCACCTTTTGTCTTTGTCTCCCCCCCATAGTCGGGTCTGATTACAATGTGTTCTCCCTACTAGGGGGAGCTGGTTTTGTCCAAATCTCAAACCAGGACTCGAGTAGTGTCTTGGGAGATTTAAATCATCTTTCTCGCCACTTGGGCTAGGTTTGTATGTGACATTGTAAAAGTTTGGCAAGATACAGAGGAGCCAAACCCTAAAGTGCCTTACAAACAAACTCCAATAAGTTCAATTCTAAAACAAACAGGGAGCCAGTGAAGCGAGGGAAGAATCAGAGTAATGTGATCAGTTTTACAAGTATTTGTTAGAAGATGAGAAGCGGCGTTTTGGACAATTAGAAGGCGGGAGAGGGTGGACTGGTTTACTCCAACGTATAATGCATTGCAATAATCTAAACGAGAACTGGTAAAAGCACAAACTGCCTTTTCAAGGTCATTAAAAGAGAGAAATGGTTTTACTTTAGAAAGCAGTCTCAGCTGGAAAAAGCTTGCTTTCACCACTGAGTTAATTTGATTCTCACATTTAAATCACTGTTACATATCACACTCACACAGCCCTGAAACAACTGACTGTCAGGATGAAGATGTATCTGCCTCATGCATTAGACAATAAACAATCGGTCTTGGTTGGGAGCTGACAGGCTTCAGGCTACAGACAAACAGACCAGGCTGAAAATTCCCCATTTATTCATCTCCACCTCTGCAACCCCAAACCATCAGTGACCTCTCAAGGTTAACCTTAACCCTTTATCTTCCATCCTACTCTTGTTCTCCTCTCACCATCAGTCATCTCAACCCATGCGTCCATGGTGTCTTCTGGCCAATAATGACGCACTGAGAAAGGCAGAAATAGAACCCGAGGTTCAGACGAGATCTCAAGGTGTCTTCTCTGCTGCCCATGGCTCTGCCTTCCTGGTACCTTCCTCTTTGCTATTCGATCAATAACAGCCTCAGGAGTCAGACAGCCTGCCTTGGTAGTTTGGACTTTACACATAAAAGATATGTAAGAGAGGTAGAGAAAAAACAAAAAGAAGGAGAGAGTAAGAGGAGACAGAGGCAACGGTGTTGGGAGAGCAGGGGCGCAGATGAGGTGAAGCAGACATCCAGGAGAGTGTGGTTAAATGTGAGGACACTTGTAGAA